GGGATAAATGCAGAGCACTAATTCCGAGTGTGGGTCACCATACTTGGCCACATGTCACGTCACTTTTTTTAATATATTTATTATTCATATTCAATTCATTCAATTTCAAACCAGAACACAACACAAACTTGTGCATGAAAAACTGCATATATATTAATTTATATATAATTTTTTAATTTTACATAGTTAAATTATTTTTTAAATAATTTATTTTTAGTAATATATTTTTTAGTAATACATTTTATTTCTTTTTTTTTTCATTAATTACAAACCAGAACACAAAATAGTACATGAAAAAGTGACCTGCTTTTGGCCTGAATCCTGACCGTTTTAGTCTGAATCGATTCTGACTGTGTGTCTGGCCTGTTTTCAGAATGCTGGATGATTTTTCACATGAGATGGACAGCACTCATTCCAGACTGGATAATGTCATGAAGAAACTGGCTAAAGTTTCTCACATGACCAGCGGTGAGTAATACTGCAGAGGAAGAGCAGACCTGCTTCATTTACTGGCTAAAAATAATGCTTAAAATGCATCAGTCTGAGAATACTTTCAACAGTTATTAAACTGAAACCTCTTATTTTAATATTTGACATGATATCTGACACTTTAGCAGTATTTATGTAGTATAGTAGTATTTACGTTTTATGTAAAGTCAAAACTTTGTCAGAATTCATAAAGTTGGCACTCTGTTTAGAAAGAAATCCATCATGCGTTTCCTGTTAGTAGGACCCCTTGTCTTCCTGATTGGCTGCGGTGCCCCTTATAAGGCAAAGCATGAACAGGAAGTCAAACTTCCGGAATTTTTCAAAGGAAAAGTTTGGTTAAGAGAGCCAAGAATGAAATCTGAGCTTCTCCCGAAAGTTATGGGAATGTTTTACAAACGTTCTCTGGCTGTATGGATTAGCTGTTGAAAACACTGTTTAACCTAGTTATCAGTGTTTTAACCTGTTATATTCTTGCCTGACCCCGCAGATCGTCGACAGTGGTGCGCTATCGGCATTCTTCTGGCCATCCTGTTTGTCGTGATCATTCTCTTGATTGTTCTGTGAACAGCCCTCCTCCGTCCTCCGCCGCTACAGCTCTCCCGCCTGCGAACGCTCACTCCAACGAAGGTGCTTGAGAGAGAAACAAAACACTTTCCCCATCTTTAGTCCATTATACGGTAGAACGCTGCTGCTTTGTAACTTTTTGCTTTCTTAGAAACAACCCAGACAGAAAACAAATGGGTAACACAGCGTACCATAACGCATTTTTGGTTTGGCGATAACGCGGTCTGATCATTTCGTACGAGTTATGTCGTAATCCAGGGTAAATCGTTTCTTTCAAATGGACAATGACTTTAAATACTTAAAAGGATCAAGTGCTACTAGAAAAAATTGCCTACGTTATTTCCTGTGCGCTGCTTTAATAGTCGGTTTAGACCACTGTAAATAATCAACACCACCTACTAAACACTGGAGTTTAACAAACCAGATACTGTTAAAGCGGGTGTATTACTGATCATACTAATGGGAATTAGTTATTTACTGTCTAAGTGTTTATTTCTGTGTGCTTTGTTTACTTATTTTTTACATTTGAGTAATTATTGATAATCAGTTACTAGTGAGATTTATTGACACGCACTGCGGTTTCTTTAAACTGAATGGAATTGTGTTTTTAACGGAAACGTTGACGTGAAACACTCCGGATAACTGCCTGAAAGTCTCCAAATAGGTTAACAATTCAAATATTAACCAAAAATTGTGCTTAAGTAAGCATTAAACATGTGAATTGCGTGACAATTGGTTATTAATCTGTAGAAAGTCTGAAAATGGATCATTTCAGATGAAAGTGAAGTTTTGGACCAAGTGTGTTTTAGCATAAAAGCAAAATTTGACAACTAATAGTTAAAGGATGAGTTCATCCAAAAATGAACATTTGCTGAAAAGTTCCTCACCCTCAGGCCATCCAAGATGTAGATGAGTTTGTTTCTTCATCAGAACAGATTTGAAGAAATGTAGCATTGCATCACTTGCTTATCAAAGGATCCTCTGCAGTGAATGGGTGCCGTCAGAATGAGAGTCCAAACAGCTGATAAAAACATCACAATAATCCACATGACTCTAGTCCATCCATGAACGTCTTGGATGGCCTGATGGTCAGTAAATCTTCAGCAAATGTTTATTTCTGGGTGATCTAATCTTTATAGTTATAAGTCATTATCTAATCAGCGCTTTAGCACAGATGAGCGTGAAGTTACATTTCATTTTAGAAAGCCAGGCACTCGTGACAAAACTTTAGGTTGCGTTTCACATTCTTAAACAGCTCAGCAAGGAGGTTCATCCGGTATTTAACATACATATTTTCACAAACTGTCGGTTTGCATTATATTTCCACTGCTAACTCGAATGGAAACGAATGAAGCAGCAGTTACTAATATGAAAATCATTGTATTTGTTGTCTTTTGACAGCACAACACTACATATTCTGTGAAAACAGGAGTACGTTTATCTTACTGGATATGTGTATTGTTTTTGTTTTGTTTGTTTGTGTGTTGTTTTAATAATCTCTTTTGGGTGAATCACACAAAGAAATGTTGTAATTCACCCCAAAATCAAAAGAAAAAAAATGTTAAATTGTATTTTGCATATGAAAATAAATAAGCCTTTTTTCTGCATTATTATACATTATTGTCATGCCAGTTAAGCACATTTTTCATTACTTTAATGTAAAACAAATCATGATTTTAATGTAATATAGTAATAAAAATAATCTTGTCTGGGCACAATTATATTTGTATTAAAATATCATGACTACAATTTAATTTAAAATAAATGCAATTTAATACATCAAATATTTTTTCTTGTCATTTAATATAATTTTTTTTTCACATTGCAGTATTGAGAATTGTTAATTGGCCATTAAAATGTGCTTAATCATAATGACAATAATGTCATAATGCTAAAAAGTGTGATCCTAAAAACAGGCAGAATTTTCTTATAGGCAAAAACATGTTTTTGTAATGTGAACTATGACCTGGACATGTTTTGTGTGATTTCCCCTTCTACATGTTCCAACTTTTTGTTTTCGAGCAATCGCGTCACTTGAGGAGAAATACAGGGAATTTGCAGTGTTTTTATCTTTCAGACATTTCCGTCGGAACCATATAATAGTGTTCAGCTGATTCTGACTGCCCTCGGTCACATGATGCAGTAGGTTAGCTCTGATTGGTTCGAAGTATGACTGAATTGATTATGCAATTTTACGATACAAAAAAAATGATACAATTGCACAATTACGTCACTGTTCTTGAGTCGCAGTGACGGAGCGGAGAGGTCAAGGTAGTGAATGCTGTTCTTCCTGACTGTGTGAATTTCAGTTGTACGTGTTCGTTTGTGATGTTTTTTTTTTTCCCCTCATTGTTTCTCTTCATCCCTCAGAAAACTGTCAAACCTCCCCATGTACCCACAGCCCCTCAGTTTGTCACTGTGTGAAGCTCTGAGGCCCATTAAAAACAAATCATTGAAAAATGGTGTCGAATTGAATTCCTGTCGATGTGAGGAGATAAAAGGAATGTAAATACCAAATAAAAATGACCAATACAAATATATGAATTTATTTATATAAAAACATGTAAAATATATTATGAAAATGTACTAGTTTAATTTTTGATTTATGCAGTTCATATGTATTAAAAATAATTTACTTTGCTTTTAAAAAGTAAAAAAAAAAATACAAATGATACCTTTATTATTTTCACACACACACACACATACATATATATATATATATATATATATATATATATATATATATATATGAATTTATATAAAAAATGTGTAAACTATATTAAAAATATATGCTTTATGAATTATAATTGATATAACAATTTATAGAAAACTATAAAAATAATGTATTATGAATTGATATACTTTTTATTGATTTATTCATAACAAAATAAATGTAAAGTTTATTCGTTTCTTTGTACATTCTGATGAGAGACGTTTATAGAGCTTCATGAGTACTGATCCTGAAACATCCTCTGAGCAATGCTGTCAGGCTCTTAGATCAGCATCTATCAGGATATCAGCATTGCTGATTGTGTTGATGGTGAGTGTTGGTCTCTATTGATCCACTAATCCAGCAGGCAGGATGGAGGCCGTTCACCCTGATCTTATGACAGGTGGCGTCTTTCTCCTCTGCCTCCCCATCCTCCCTCCTTTGTCTGGCCCACTAATGATTAGAGATCAACACCTGAGTCCCACACACAGCACTGAACGCACTGAACTCCACTGAGCCAAACCAGCAGGACCAGAACCTATAGCGCTATTCAGCGATCCCTTACACTGAGCTATTATAGATGCTTAAAGAGAAATAACATCAACGGAGAAATATTACTTAGAATATGATTTATGTTTATAATATTGTGAATATGAAAATATTATTTCAATTTGTATCTTAAATTTTAATATTACAAATATATAATTGATTTTATAATATGACCTACTTTTGCATTTAGTTGCATTAATATACTAAAATAATAATCCAAAAATGTATGCGTACATATACGCATTACAGGATTATTCTGCATTTATATTTAATACTAGATTTTTGATAGATGTGGTGATAAATATGTACTGCTCATTTATAGTAATGATAACACAATAATAATAATAATAATATAAAATTATTAAAAAAATAATAATATGTAAAACGTTTTCACTTTCTGAAACTTTGTTTCACTATTGTAATTAATATTATAGCATTAATGTTTTATTTTTATGTTTGCATATTATTTCATATTTGAATATGTAAAAATATATTTTATATTGTTATATAACATTTATGTGTATTATATTCTGTATTGAATATATATCTATAGATTTTTTTATATATATTATGATTATTATTTTTGTATTTGGTCCAAATCGTGAAATATGACTTATTATTTATTGTGTATTATATTAATATTATATTATGAATATGCAAGTATAATTTATATTTATTTAAATTGTTATTACAAAATGAAATCTTTATAAATATTTTTAAATAAAATGGAAATAAGTTTTAAATAATATTTAATGAACACATAAAACATGGTGTTAAATATGTACTGTGCATTTATTATAATAATAACATGTAAATAAAAATACTTGTATATATAGTGTTGCATTATGATTAGTATTGTAGAATTAATATTTTATTATTTGTGCATAGTATTTAAACATTAAATATTCAAAAATAATAAAATGTTAATTCTGTAAATTCAATCATAATGCTATTATATTTTTTATTATAATAATTTGTATTTTATTATATATTATGATTATTATTTTGTTCTTTCAATATTTTTTGAAATTTTTGCATTTAATATTTTAATGTATTAATATATATGGAATAAACAAATATTTGGCATATGTAGTACAAATTATTTACTGCAGTTTTATTTTAATATTAATCAAGGAGAGAGGTAGTACATAAAAAATGCTTGGCTCAAAGCAGTGGTGATATTTGTGGCTAAAACTGGCTTTGCATAGCTGCTTCTAATGATGGATTTAGAGAGTGTGTGTGTGTGTGGCAGGGAGGCAGCAGGTGCAGGATGCAGGTTCCGCATTGGGCTCCTTTATCCCGCAGTTAGTGGAGGGGACAGCTGAGCTCTCGTACCCGTGGGGAGGTGGGGGCAGGGTCGAGACGCACTGCTCCGCCAGCTGAGCTCATTAGCATCGCTACACACAACATGAACCCGCACTTGAGAGCAGCTATCATGTTTATGAGAGTACAAAACGACTAGAAATCTACCCGGAGTCCTTTTAAACAGCTGTCACGGACAATCGCAAGCTTTTCTTCTAGTTATCGGTGACACAGCTATGAATATTGGGTAATGAAGGGTATAATTGCTTAAAGCTGAAGCCTGTAAATGCATATAAGCATCTATAAAGACATGAATGAGATTGTGCAGCTTGGTTAGAAGATTGTTTTTTATTAGTTTTGTAAGCATTCTGACTTAATAAATGGATGTATTTGATTGTTTTGTGTGTTTGTGTATATGTGTGTGTGTTTTGAATGTCGTGACCAGGATGGAATCAATCATTGTCTAATCAAATGACCAGCACACGTGCCTCATATTCACCGCACCCTGACAGTTGGAGCATCCAAGACCCTCTTACACATCTGTAAGCTTTTCCGGCTTGTGTCGTTTTACCATTGAAAACCCCAATCCTGCACTCTTAGGGGCAGTTCACACAGAACGCATGTTTGCGTTGAAAAATGTGAATCATGAGTAGTGGAATGGGGAAAAAACGCAAGGTATTATAACTCATTTAACCTGTTTTAATTTGAGCATGATTGTTTTAGAACACTACGTTTTTAAAAAGAGATAAGCGCAATGGAAAAGCAGCGCAGTGGGATGCTAAAAAACGTACTCGTACTCGTAAGACACAGAACGTGTTTTTGGGGTTAAAGGTGCTGTGTGTAATTTTTTGACAGTGACAAAGCATAAAAACACGATAGTTCACATACTTGTTTCTCCGAAAAACAATGCTAAAGACAGTTTTTCTGCTTTGAAAATGTGCGCTCAGTGTCGGAATGCCTGTTTTTGTTTTAGTCTGTGTGACTCCGCCCCCTGCCAGTTTAACCAATAGTATTTCGACACCCTGGATTGTCAGAGAGCGGAAAACAGCGTTTTGCAGCCATGGAAACCAGCAAACAAACTGGGTCAGAGATTGTAGATTCTACCTGACCTAAAAAGCCTAAATCTAATAAGCTTGAAGACCAGATGCATATAAAAACAAATAAATCAACTCATCAGCTCATCGCCTTCCATTGTCAGTTGCGATCATTCCCATCGCTGAACACACACCCACTGCTCCAGGTGTGTGTTCACGGTGTGTGTGTTCACTACTGTGTGTGTGTGTGTGTGTGCACTTGGATGGGTTAAATGCAGAGCACAAATTCTGAATATGGGTCATCACCATACTCGGCCACACGTCACTTCATTTGAAAGTTTAAAAAAACAAACACTACTTTGAAGTATAACATTTTTTGAACACAGTGTGAGATGTGAGTGTAACGTTCAAAGACAAACGTTTAGTGCAAGTTTACACAGAAAACAAAAAGTAGCATGTGGGGTGCAAAAACGTTTTGCATTTTTTAAAAATTGTAATTCTTTTAACTTGCTGTTTTTAAAAAACGAGATGTCAGCGCAGTAGTCAAAAATGTCAGTCTAGCACGTTTACATAAAAAAACAAAACAATGTAAAAGTAGTGCAATGGAATGGAAAAACATTTTCTGTGTGAACGGCCCCTTAACCCTAAAACACAGTACGCATTTATCCGTTTAAAAACACAAGATACAGGGCAGTGGAATAAAAATCTCATTTTATTTCTCAAGATGCTTTAAATAAAAATTTAGTTCTTTTAACTTGAGCACCATTTTTAAAATGCGTTAAGGACCATTCAATAAGAATGCGCTTTTGCGTTTAAAAATGCAAGATGCAGAGTAATGAAATGAAAACAAACGCAAGGTCTAGTTATATGTTTTTTTTTTAAAGTTTAATTACTTTTAACTTGAGCATTGTTTTTTTATGCAAAAGTTGCGAGATGCGAGTGCAGTGGTCAAACACGTATGTGTTGTGTATGTTTACACAGAAACACATTGAAGAAGCAGCGCAGTGGAAAATGCATTCATTTTGACCCCTTACCACTAAGACACAGAATGCGTCTTTGATTTCAAAAATGCGAGATGCAGGGTAGTGGAATAAAAAAAAAGCAAGGTCTAGAGATGCGGTTTAAAGTTGAAATATTCCTTAAAGCGATAGGTCACCCAAAAATAAAAACCCTCAAGTTGATGGTAGCCATTGACTTCCATAAAATTAAATCTCATATGGGTTTGGAACATCTGGAGGGTGAGTAAATGAAGACAGAATTTTTATTTTTAGGTGAATTACCCCTAAAAAGGAGTATTTTGAGTTCAGTATTATTCTGAATCCACACTGTATTTCACTGTATTCTTGGTCCTTCTAAAATACCTACAAAATATGAAGGAAAAAAACAAAAAAAAACGAGCCGTCTCTCAAAAGCCAGTTGTTTTATTTCATAGTAACACATATAAATAAATGTAACAAAATACATTAGGTTGGTAGCTTTTTGCGTTGCACGTACTGTAATACTGATATCCTTCAAGACAGCATGCTAATCGGACTGCACTGTAGAGGCAGAACAATGTGCTGGCTAATGGAGAAATATCCAATCAGTTTACTAAAGAGCATTCAGAGCTGATGATCAATGCGACTGCAGCGTGTGCACTCAGCCATTCTAAGAGAGTATATAAACCTCTTTTGACCGTGTACGATATAGATCTGTTTACTTGTCAGCAGCATGGGGAAGGTTTCGTACTAAAACCGAATACGAAAACAACAGAGGATTTGGATGAAACAAAATATTCAGAAGATAGATAAACATTTTTGTTCATTGGTCTTTTTGGCAAACACATGTACACTATCCTTCATTGCAATAACACTTGAGTTTAACTTTCAGTACATTAAATATCCTTGTCCTTCATACACACTGCAGACTGTACTACAAATATAATATTCTGTTGTAGCGGTAGTACCATTCTGGCAAAAAAAAAAAAAAAAACAGCCAATGAATGTGACTCAAGGTGTGGTCACATTTAATGCTGTTTGGCAAAATTTCGCCATTTCAATCGGACCGTGCACCATTGAGAGTTTCGTGTGAGGGCAAAAAAGTTCCCACGTAGATTTCGGTCATCTTCAAGTTGGTCACGCAACTCTCCACACGGACCAACAGAAAGTTGATTGGTTTGAAAGTAATTTCTGTTTGAGCTGGGCTTCGTTTCTACACTATTTACAATGGACAGTGTGCCTGTTTTTCGCTGAAAGTTTGCTAATGTGACCACACCTTCAATAGCGTATGTTTTCAAGGTACCACTGTAAACTAAGCCCATTCACACCAAAAACAGTAAAGTCCAATTGTGGAAAAAAAAAAAAAAAAAACAGCCAATGAATGTGACTCAAGGTGTGGTCACATTTAATGCTGTTTGGCAAAATTTCGCCATTTCAATCGGACCGTGCACCATTGAGAGTTTCGTGTGAGGGCAAAAAAGTTCCCACGTAGATTTCGGTCATCTTCAAGTTGGTCACGCAACTCTCCACACGGACCAACAGAAAGTTGATTGGTTTGAAAGTAATTTCTGTTTGAGCTGGGCTTCGTTTCTACACTATTTACAATGGACAGTGTGCCTGTTTTTCGCTGAAAGTTTGCTAATGTGACCACACCTTCAATAGCGTATGTTTTCAAGGTACCACTGTAAACTAAGCCCATTCACACCAAAAACAGTAACTACAGCGTTGGAGTCCAGCCCGGGGTCGTCACATGTGGTTGCCGCAAGCCGGCCTCCGCTCATTCTAGGCCGCTGGCCACTGCTCACTCTAGCCCGACGTGTGTGACGCTGTTTCGTTGTGAAAGCGAAACTACTTCGTTTGGCCTTCCAAAAGAGGGCACAACTAGAAATCAGTGGTTAAGTTGTATTTACAATCAGAGCACACCTCGCTTTTCAGATCGATGAGCTTTGTAAAAATCGACGCATTTCAGAAAGGCAGAGCATAGGGGAGAAACCTTAATGTACAGTATGTGGAAAATAATGTTTTTTTGAACCTTAAACCGCATAAACACATTTCATTACACCAAATACACCAAATAATGTTCTTTTTAGCAACATCATATGACCCCTTAAACTGTAATGATAAATGCAAAGTTCTGTCATGAAACTACAGATGGCGCAGGCCATAGGTTCTAACTCAATCAGATATAATCACACGATTATTCACATGGCGCAGCTGATTGGTTTCTTTCACATCAGCAGCCAACGAGCTTGCTGCTCAACATTTAAATACTCAGCTAGTGCTTGCTGTAGCAGTTGCAGCGCGCTTCAGAAACCCTCCACCTTCCCCAGGTCCACTTGTATAGATCTGTACGGGGTAATTTCATGTGTGTTATATATGGGGGTTGTTTTATATATGTTATATGTGCAGCAGCAGTATTTCCTACATGCTCACAGCAGCACGTCTGTGGATGTATTGGCAGTAGCAAGTCTCTGTACTCGCTCTGCCGCAGCAGTAGCATAGCAGATCTATTCCGCCAAGACTAAACACATTATCATTGCCATATATATTCCCATGCTAAACTCTCAGAGAGTTGTCATGACAGAACTATATTAGCATCCACAGCAACATGCAAAAACAATCTGTTTAAAACGAGCACTGCAGTTTTGTCATCTGCCTCTTTAAATGCTCGAACTGTTTAAAGTAGGATGAATTCTGATTGGCTGCCAATGTTTTTTGTCGTTCATCAGCTGGAAAGTGACTCCAACGATATTGTTCCTCTGTGTTGTTATCATTATAGTTGTGGACTGTGTTATTTTTATGACTTTAGAATGATTTTTAAAACTATATCTTTTGTCATTATTGTTATAGTTATTGTTTTTGGTGTGAACAGGCCTTTAGCCATAACAGTGGCTTCAGGGATGAATTCACCCAAAAAAATTAAACTGGATTGGAACAAAGTGTATAAAAAAAATAAAAATTTTGGTGACTATCCCTTTAATATGGACCGTTGTGTGATCATTGTGATAAAACTCCAAAGGTCAGTAAAACGTAATACTGCCGTTTTCACGAACTCATCCCTGACTTAATTTCTGATGCTTTTTTGCAGTTTTCATTTATGTTGACTGGAACAAAACGTGGTTCTGGTACAGTCTTGACTTCAGTTAGCGCTGTAAGCATCTATGTCGTAGTACGCGGATTGAAGCTGTGCTGTTTTGAGTCATTAAACGGGTCACCAGGTCCAGACTGAGTCCCGCCACCTTCTCACCGTTCACCTCTAATATCTCGTCCCCGACCCCGAGCAGCCCCGCGTAGAGTTTCTCCATATTGCTGTCACCCATTTCTTCAACGTACACCCCTTAAACATAAAGCCAGTTAGTCCTAAACTTTCTGACTATGTCAGAAGTGCATGAAAACGAGAGCGGGAGGTCACTCACCTGAGTCTGGCCTGCCTTTTCCTCGGGAGATGAGAAAGCCGAAGGGGCCGTTGGGGGGTCTGGAGAGCTCCAGCAGGATGGTGCCGTCAGGGAAGGCCTGAGCCACGTGTCCCACCGGACGCACCGCACTGGGCCGCCCCACATCCTCTACACTCAAGGCACGCTGAAGACCCCTAAAAACACACACAGATTTATCTACTTAGAAAGACCAAAAAAGTGTAACAGAACTATTTTAGTGTCAGATTATATGGTGAGTTACTTATTATTTACTAATTATAATATATTATTTTGAAGTATGTTCATTTAAGCAGTTCTATTTTTATTTTTTATTATTTTCTTAGAAATTTGTGAGTGGTTCTTAATAGTGAAAGTTTCTACCACTAGGCCAGAGGTGTTGAAAAATCTTTTTAATGTGTTGCTATGCAGTTACTAGGAGGTATTGTGTGGTTACTAGGTGGATATATTTTAAAATTATATTTATATATTTATTTGTAATTAAAATTATATATTTAGAAATATATAATTTGATAAATTAAAATGATATAATAAATGTTACATATATGACGTATTTATTTTTTATTAGTAGATAATTATATTTATAATATAATAAGATGTCATTTTAAAATAAAATTATATAAACAGACACACTGGGCCATATACCATGGTAGTATTTGAATACTACATTCATATACCATGGTATTTGAATGGCATGGCACTCCCAGGTACTGCAAAGAAAACCTTAAATTTCCTTATAATTATATTATATTATAAAAGGGCCTTATGATATGATATGATGATTTATTTTATTATTTAAAAAAATATATATAATATAATATAAAAACAGTTTAATATTTATTATTATACAGAATTTTATTTTTTCAACTGTGAAATTTTTTCATGGAAGCCTGTCATATAATGATAGTCCCCAGATGTATCACAGTGTTTGCTCCTTGTATTTCAGCTTGTCTTTTTATCTCCCTTTCTTTGTGTCAGATCCAAGTGAACAGCCAATTATAGCACGTCTCTGTAGCGGCTCTCTGCTTTCTTACTGGCTCTCAAGAAGGACGATGTAAGCTGCAGCTCTTCTCCAGTCACTGGGGCTGGAATTCCTCTCTGGCTATCTCTCCTTCACTCAGACACACATTCACACACTCATAAACACGACACGCACTCACAGGCACTATCGAATCACAACACTGGCGACAAACACACTATCTGGCACTGTGAGCAACCCAAACACACATGCTTAAAGGGCAGCATCTAGTAACACACACAAGAGGCTGAATATAGCAGCAGCATGTAGACGAGTGATCATTCCATGTCTTTCTTTGGCAGATACACACACCTCTATTTTTATCTTCCCTCCCTCCCTCTCTGTCTGTTTTTATTGCTGCTGCTGCTGACCCAGTCAATGGAAAATACTTATCTTGTTGCACAACACGACAGCTGTCTGAACATTACAGGAACACGATGCGTGCTCCGCAGAACATGTCATGCTTCAAATTGCCATTGTTCATAACACTAAAAGGTTACAAAGAGGTAAACAGGCAGATTTATTGAGATCAAGTGGTGTGCATGTGTATGAAATAATACTTAAATAATATTACTGTGGTGTTGGCGTTACCATAGTACAGGGATGGTAACAGTAAATAATACTATGATATTTTGATATAGGTCAAAGACGAGATAAGAAAAGCAGACAGTATGACTCTCATAACTGTCATTATATGGGTCACCATACTTGGCCACATGTCACGTCACTTTAACCTTTTATAATTGTTTTATATAATCCATAGTCATTTGTTCCTGGGTCAAATAATGTAACCCTGAATAAAATAAACAATTATGATATTTAAAAAAAATGTATGAATATAAATGTCAATACAACAATGCATTTCTTGGCAGCTGTATATGTTATATTATCACGATGGTGCCTGAAAGCATGGTAGTATCATTGAACCATTATATTATATTATATTATATTGTTTGGTGTAATTTGAAGTGATGCATCATTTGTAAGTTGTGTAACTACTGTACCTGGTTAATACAGGACTACAGGGCTGTTCTCCTGGAGTGTATGCAGAGGAACGGTCTGTTTTCTTTCTGGGGATTTGGAGGTTTTGAGCCGATGAAGATCTCCTCAGCTGGAGAAACGGAGACCCCTAGTGGTGAGAAATGACAGTCAGCGCCGCTCTCTTGAAATTTTAACAAGTAGCATATTGACACATCCATGTAACCATATCTTCAAATTATGATAAAAATTCTAGATGTTTTTTGAGGGACATCTGAAGGTTGATATTATTTTATAGATGCTAACCAGACGTATAGTCTGCAGTGAGGGGGCTTTCTTCAGCTGGTGGTGGTGTCTGTGTGTGGGGCTGGGGGAGGTGGAGGATGAGGTCGGCCGAGCGTTTTGGTTTGGGTTTGAGTTGGGTTTGGGGTGCAAGCTGAGCTGATCCATGCTGCTGGATCGTCCTTTTCTCAGCAACCCCACGCTGTTCAGCCCCATTGCAGAGAAGAACCGCCGCAAGGAGAGTTTGGGTCGACCCTCTCGCTGCTCTGCATCCATCCCTGCTCTGAAAAACAGGGTAAGTCATAAGGTTATTTCAGTGTTTTTTTTGTGTGGCTATTTTAATCTCCACATTGACAATATTACATGGCTTGGGCATGTCTTCTTTTTTTTAATAAATAAATATTTTTTACTAATTATTAAAAATACATGTTTTATAATAGTTAATAAATTAATAATAATAGAAAAAACAAATCCCACTGACAAAAAGGTGTTTATTTGTTTTCCTTTTTGGCTTATTTTATTAGTTTCTTTTTTCTTTTCTTTTTTTTCATTAATTTTATTTTATGGTGCAATTTTGATTTTGTGATGTCTTTATAAAATTTTTTTAATAAATAAATATTTTTTACTAATTATTAAAAATACATGTTTTATAATAGTTAATAAATTAATAATAATAGAAAAAACAAATCCCACTGACAAAAAGGTGTTTATTTGTTTTCCTTTTTGGCTTATTTTATTAGTTTCTTTTTTCTTTTCTTTTTTTTCATTAATTTTATTTTATGGTGCAATTTTGATTTTGTGATGTCTGTATAAAAGCGATATATATATATATATATACACTACAATTTTGATTTTGTATAAATGTTTATGCAATTATGATTCTCAGTCAGTAGGTGGCAGTGTTGTAGTAGACAAACATATAGTCATAAGGAAGCCTGGCCCACATTTCCCCTGACCTACTTTGAGCCTCAAGTGCCAAAGCAATCCGTATGATTGTGGCCCCGGAAATTAAATTGTTCGGAGAAAGGATTGAATATTTTAGTAAAGGATCTGGTTTGTTAAAGTCCTAACCAAAAAAGGGGGGATTACAGAAAAGGGAGGAAGCTGTGGGTATGGACATAGCATATTCATTATTTCCACCCTCTCTTTCTTTCCCTCTTTACTCACTGTGAAAAGTTTGGGCTAGTTGCCCTGTGATGCACTGGTCTGATTGGCCCTCTGACGTGTCCGTCACTGAGACGAGTCTGGGTTGATTCAGCACTGCTGGATGTTGCATCAGATCCCAGCTGTCCTGTACTCTGGTGCTGGTCCACATCTAAGGAAGAATGGAAAGCGTGGCTGTGCATATCATAGGACAATGGAAGAAACATCCTATGGAAATTGTTAAATATCATGATGAATCTTGATAATGTGTAAATTGAATATGGTAATCATAACAATATAACTTTAGTGGACCATTTTATGTAACTGAAACGTAAGTGTCAAAATGCTTTTCCATGCAGCGTCACACAAGATGGAAAATTGTTGAAGGAGATAGAAAAAGACTGGCAGAGAGTTGCTGCTGATCGCACTAGCAACTGGCCCACTGTGGGATTACTCTGACAGGACAGTGTGGATTTGCTGATCTGGACAATCCCCAGTGAGACAGGAACGCAGTGAAGAGAAGCCTATATGTGCTCACCCATAGGTGTCAGCACCTTGCTGACTGGAGCAGGACTCACAGGTCTACCTGGAATTGCTTCTTGATTCTGGGAAAAGCTTTGATTAATTTTTAGATTAGATTACGTAAGCGTGCATTTGAAATCTAAACTTCACAGTGCTAAATATTAACTTTAACCTTTGCAGTGCGCTCAAATATGCATTAAAAATTGTGAAAGTTCTATTAGGTAGGACACTTGTGTAACACAACACCACCTAGTGCTAGTAGTGCTTTACAATTTGCAGACTTTGTGCCATTGTTTATCTTGCTGAAAAACTCATTTTAGCTAAGTGACTAAAGCTCAGTGCTAGCAACCAGAATGTTGCTGGTTTGAGTCAAACGGCAATCACCATTGTGCCCTTAAACTAGGCATCTCTGTAAGTGTACTACAGGGGTGTCTAATCCTGCTCCCGGAGAGCCACTGTCCTGCAGAGTCTAGCTTTAACCCCAATTAAACACACCTGAACCAGCTAATCAACGTCTTTTAGGCTTGCTAGAAACTTCCAGACAGGCTGGTGCGTTAGACTTCAAGGCAGGTTGGAGCTAAACTCAGTAGGACACTGGCCCTCCAGTAGCAGGTTTGGACATCTCTGGTGTATGGTAAGTTGCTTTGGATAAACCGTCTGCTCGGTGACTACTGCTATTAGCCCATGTACTTAAACTAACCTGTTAGCCTTTCTTCCCCTTGTATGGGTGAGTTTCGAGCACACAGAACTGGGTGCGTCATGAGTATGGGACCAGGGATGACCATCGCAGATCTGTCCTCCCAATAACCCAATCCAGAGGAAGCCTGTTCCTGAGGACAGCTCTCCACAGCGCCCCCTGCCTCCGTGGAGTCCAGGTGGTACTCTGGCGAAGACACGAGTGTGACGGTCCGATGACCATTACAGCGGTTCTTTGAGCTGGATTTCAGGGCTGATTTTTTCGGTTTGAGAGGCGGAGGGGTTGGCTGAGGAAGGTGGGAGCTGGATGGTTCTCCTTTGGGGGGCAATGGAGGTGCCACAGGTCCCTTGCTGGATGTGGGGCTGCATGTGGCTGGGATTCTCTGTCCAAGTGGATCCGTGGCATAGGGGTTGAGTGGCAATGCTAGTCCATTCGAGACACACATTTGAGTTCCATTTTTGCAATCTGGAGGTGTTGGAACCCTGAGGCCATTGACGTACAAGGGTTCCTGTCTGCTCTCTTGTTTCCGGACCTTCTTCTTTAGCTTCTGGAATGTTCCCCTACTGCTCACGTTATCCGCAGGACTGCAGTGTGTTCCATCGCTGTGGACAATAGCGGGACTCGTCCCAATGTATGTCTCCTTAATCTGTTCGATCCGGACAAGCCGGTTGGGAAGGGTGGGAGCAACCCAACATGGTATCTTCTTCCCTTCGACTTCCCCATTAGGTAAGGACAGAGTATCTGAGTTCAAGCTAGGCCCATGGGGTTCATTTAGAAAGGTTCCACAAGAGTTGCACTGCCTGTTTGCCGTCTCAGGGCCTTTGCCATTCAACAAACTCTTCTTGGCTTTTGTCTTCCAGAATATTGAATCACTCGAGCCATGTCCTGTCTCTGCCTGTCCATTGGTGTAAGACGACAAGGTGGGTTTGGACACCAGCAGCCCCTGCGCTCTTTCTCCAGCCCTGCGCCGCTGGCGTAGCCGCTCCAGGTAGCGTACCTCAGCGTCCTTCTCCGATTCGTCTTCGAAACGCACACGGGTAGGGGACTGGCCATGTCTCCGCCGGGTTCCACCCGACGAGTCACCGCTCGATGAGTCACTAAGGTTTCCAGAGACCACTGCCACACCTTCCTTCCCCGCAAGAGGAGCCTGGTGTAAACCAACCCAGGACAACAGCTCCCTGTTCACACATGCACATTTATGAAATTAGTTGCATTCCTAAGCACTTAGATACACAAAGAAACAGATGCATGCCAAAGTGGCCGGCAGACTATCTCTCAACATGGAGAGGCAAATTCCTGAGGAAAATTTCCCTCTGCTTTGGCTCCTCTGTGCACATTCCTGACATGCTTTTTTACTCCTTTAAGGAAGGTCGTCTTCAGCATGCCAGGCATTTCGATATCAGCTCTTTGTTAAACATGAGAAAACCAAAACTTGCTCCTTTCAATATTCCCTGCTTGCTAAAATGTAGAAGTGCAGGAATAGTAATCTACAGGTGCATTATTGTGCACTGGGACTTTTTATGCCCATTAAGCTTTGTGCAGTGTTCTGAAACCTATGGGATTTTATACAGCCGCGAGTTTGTCTTAAACAGTCAATCTCGAGAGAGGCAGTTAAGTGTTAAGTTTAACCCAAGCAAGCTGACAGCAGTGTACTCAACATCACTGAGCTGTTTTCCCCATAAGGGAGAAGCAGGGAGGGAATTAGGGAGAAGGAAAGTAACAGCTGGCAGACATGACAGGTGTAGTGGAGCAGGACGGCAAAGCAGTTTTATCAAAGCTCCCGTTTAAATAAAAAAAAGGAGAATTTTAATCTGTCAGTCACCTATTCACTAATCATTTTTTGAATCCAAGCCAGAATATAGACATACATTTTTAATTAAATTTTTTAGTTAATTGTTTGCTTGTTTTATTAAATATTGTTTTAATTTCACATTTAAATATGACCTTTTATTATTTACATATATTTCTTAAAACATTTTAAAATGTTTTTTTTTGTTTTTTTTTCTGTTTTCTCAGTGCATGTCAGGTTTTGTTGTGACGTTTAAAATTGCCCTAATCTGTTCCGGATGCTGCCATGCAATGCACACTGCTTGTCTTCATACCAAACAAGGAGACAGGCGTTTGGGGCGGCTCGCCCATCTGTCTTTGTGTGAAAGTGCTGAGGTAGAGAACAGAGTACGGTGGCTGAGAGAGCTCAACGTGCTGCAAATGAAAAAACACATGCAAATAGAAAAAACACCTGCAAATTAAGAAAACATCTTCATCAGCTTGACAATATATGCACTGCAAATACTCACAACACAACCAAATACAGATATTGGATATTATTAGCCTAAATAAAATGACAAAAATACACAATTACTGTAACTGTGAAACGTATATAAGCTGGTTAACTTACTTTTACAACTTCCCTTTACGAAAATTAACCATGGTTTTACTATAAAAAAAAAAAAACATGGTTACTATAGTTGTGTTTTGCGTATTTGCAGCGCGTTTCTGTATTTTGAGTATTTGCAGCACATGTGTTGTCAAACTGATGAAGATGTTTTCTTAATTTTCTGGGTCTTTTTTTATTTGCATGTGTTTTCTTAAGTAGCAGCGTGTTGAGCTCTCTCGGCCACCATAACAGAGCGCTGGACGGGGAAGTGGGACTTAGAAGCACCAGCCGTGTGTACACATTGTATAATTCAGGTTGTCTTATATAACAGAAGAGTTTGGAGGAGGATGCCAGTGTACTTGGCTTAGAAGTTTCAATTCAGACTACCATTAGCTTCCAGCTGTTTCACTGCTAGCACTGAATGGGCATCTTTGTTTTCTCTGGTACTAGAGATATTCTACAATACTTGTATATTGGTTTCATACGAATGTCTTTATAATGACATACTTTATGCCATATTAATAGGCCAGACTGAAATTTAAAACAGCACCTGTTGCTTCTGAAAAGAGATTTGCCAAACACTTCCCCCCTTCCCTTTTATCAGCTGCCCGTCTCCAAAGAGAGTAAAAGACTATTCAGTCCAGCACCAAATAATACAGTTTAAGATCTACACCCCCCTCACAAATCCTCAAGAGTGAGCAGGCGAAGGTTTCCTTGTTTTGATATGAAGAGAGCCATGTAGACACCCTCCCTTCCCATGATGCCTAAGC